ATCTTACCATGGGAAAAGGAAGCATAAAGAAGTAACAGGAATTTATTTGTTTAACATTTGCATAGCACTCACTGTCTGCCAGAAACTGTCCCGAGAGCTTTACATGCACTTGTAGTGGGTAGCCATTCCAGCTTTGATCTGTAAGTTCCAACCCCCATTGAGACTTCGGCAACTGTCACGCCTAGAAGGCGGGGCGAAAGGAGGCGCCTGGGGACCCGAGATCTGGATCGGCTGGCGCTCTCTCTGTTGCGGGACCCTGGACTAGAGAGGTGGACCAAGCAGAGCTCCAGAGAACACCGCTGGACTGCGATACACCTTCCCCAGACTCCGCGACCTACCTATCCCTTAATTTGTAAGTTACGCCATTAAATAAATCTCCTTTTATCTACGTGGAGTGGCCTTAATAATTTCACCAATATCTGGCGCCCAACGTGGGGCACGAACCCACGACCCTGAGATTAAGAGTCTCATGCTCTACCGACTGAAAGGGGGAGATGTAGTGGGTAGCCATTCCAGCTTTGATCTGTAAGTTCCAACCCCCATTGAGACTTCGGCAACTGTCACGCCTAGAAGGCGGGGCGAAAGGAGGCGCCTGGGGACCCGAGATCTGGATCGGCTGGCGCTCTCTCTGTTGCGGGACCCTGGACTAGAGAGGTGGACCAAGCAGAGCTCCAGAGAACACCGCTGGACTGCGATACACCTTCCCCAGACTCCGCGACCTACCTATCCCTTAATTTGTAAGTTACGCCATTAAATAAATCTCCTTTTATCTACGTGGAGTGGCCTTAATAATTTCACCAATATGCACTAATTGCCCCATCCAAGGGGCTAGGAGAAGAAAGAACTGGGACACGAGTCTAGCATTTTTGACTCTACACCACACTATTCTCTCATTTAAGTGAAGTTTATCTTTATCTACAGAATCCCAAGTAAAGCCAATAAATCCACAAATGGTTCTCTCTCTCTCTCTCTCTCTCTCTCTCTCTCTCTCTCTCTCTCTCTCTCTCTCTCTTTCTCTCTTTCTCTCTCACCTATCCATCCATTCATTAAACCAACCATCTACCTCTATTTTCCTTATTATAAGTGACCATGATTGTTATTTAAAATATGAAGATATTAATGAAATAAGTAGCATAGAAAATAAAAATCCCCCAGAATCACAATTTAGATAATCGTTTTTAAATTAATGTGTGTTCTTTCAGATTTTTTAATACTTTTTTTTGAGACAGGGTCTCACTATGTGGCTCTGGACTGCTTGGAACTTGCTATGTAGATCATGCCTGCCTTAAACTTAGAGAGAACTACTTGGTTATGCCTCTTGAGTGCTGGGATTAAAGGCATGTGCCACCATGTACTATATATATGCTTGAGTCCCATTTCACAAACTACTCAGCCTTGAAAAAATCTCTCTGTGACTACATGAGTCTACCTTATGTGTTTTCACACTCTGTTGTAGAGAGAGAGAGCAATATTCCCAAGCATTACTAGTCATCTCTTGATATACTCAGAGACTTAAAATTTTCTTCATTAGCAATAATGCTTCAATAGATATCCTTGAAGATCTGAGTAACTCTTGAGAATAAGTGACCATTGAGTGCTCAGCCCTAAACAGGGTATCTGTGTAACCCACTTCAAGTCCCAGGGAACATTGTGGATGAGAGGATGGAAATGATAAGGGAGCTAGAGGATCGGCATTTAGCTTTGTCTTCTGCATATGATGTGACCCATGTAATCATGAACACACAGCAGCTGTGATTACCTGCATAAGGCCGATACAAAGAAGGTCGGAAGAAAGGAGGAACATGGGAGTAGGAAGGAGACTAGTCGGAAAAAAGGGGGTTGACGGGAATGGGGAGGGGTTGAAACAGGGTACTGAGGGTGAATGTGATCACAGTGCACTATATACAAGTATGAAGTTGTTCAAACGAAAAACTTCCAACAGAACCACAATATATCCTTGTACTTGCATCTCTGAAAGTCTGTCTCTGTGTTTATGTACATTTGTCTAGAATAAACTGATGGAACTGGAATTTCAAGGTCAAAAGTATATGCACAATTATACACAATAAAAATTGTCACAGACATTCACAAATTGATCTTCAAAAACGCTTCTTAATTGGTCCTCCCACTTGCAGCATGTAAGAATGACTCATTTCCCCACAGGCTTGTCAATACTAGGTATTCTCAACTTGTGAAAAATTCAGCAGTTTAGAGCAGGGCATTGTAGCACATACTTGTATTCCCAACACAGTGAGGGGTGAGGTAGAGCCAGGAGGATCATGAGTTTGAGGCCAGCCTGGGCTACATAGTAAGTTCCCAGGACAGCTTGGTCTGTATACCAAGACCCTATCTCAGAAGAGAATAGTTTTTTTTTTTTTTTTTTTTTTTTTGGTTTTTCGAGACAGGGTTTCTCTGTGTAGCTTTGCGCCTTTCCTGGAACTCACTCTGTAGCCCAGGCTGGCCTCGAACTCACAGAGATCCGCCTGCCTCTGCCTCCCGAGTGCTGGGATTAAAGGCGTGGGCCACCACTGTCCGGCAAGAATAGTTTTTAAAAAACTGGTCTACTAGAGAGAAATAGTACACCATTCTTTTAATATGTTTGAAAATAGGGAAACAATATACTTTTTTATATTATTAATCTTTATATTTCTGACTTTGTAAATTGATCATTTCTTTCATTTGATAACTAGTTTATATAAGTGAAGTGAAGAGAGAAGAGGCCCTCAGGGACTATGTAAGATTATGATGTATTCTTTTTAAAGGGCTAAATAAACCCTTGAGATTTATTCCCACCATAAACTGCATTCTTAAATGTTGTATTTGATGTCATTTTATTGAGCTGAACAGAAAAACATTGTTAACCAACAATAACAACAACTGATAACTGGACTTCATGGTGATTATCATCTTCTAGGTTTAATGATTTATTAGCCACATGATGATAAGATAATATAATGGCATAAGCTGGTGACAGTAGGAGTTCTGGCATGTTGGTGCAGTGCATATGTGTGTCTGTGTGCACATCCAAGTTGAGAATATGTGTGTGTGTACACACATGCAAGCTGAGGAAGTGTGGAAGTGTGTGTGGACAGTAATGTACATATGAGTCTCTGCTTTAGAGGATGTTAAGTATGGGAATGAAAAGAGAGGGAGAACATTGTATGGCCAGAAAATGTCTGGAGACTCTCATTTGGCATCATCTCTAAGAAGCAGGAAAGTGGTTTCCTCTGTCAGCCTCTGTAATGCACTGTCATAGCTATCACTGTTTCAGACTGGTGGTCCTGATATTCCCACTATAAACTGGTAGATATGGGATATAACTGCATTATGCCATGAAACTTTTGGGTTTGGCTTGGGCTGTGTGGGGACTGGAACTAGGTTGATGTTGGAAGCTCTTCAGATATTTGTGTGTTAGCCTGGGACTCCAAGGCTTGTAATGGTGACTATACTCTCACCCAATAGTGTCTTATGACATAGGGGCATGCTTGCTTTCAATTTTCACACATATTGTAAAGTCGCTTGTCAAAATACTGTACCACAGCTTGAAACAGGCTCAGGAAATATTGTGGAAGAGGAGGTGGAAAGAATGTAAGAGATGGATGATGGAGAGGAGTGTTGTGAAATGCTATCTTCCGGACATTCTAGACATGACTTGGATGTTGCACCTATGACCTCACAGATGCATTGGTGGCCTACACAGGACTAGGCCCACCAACATTCCATCATGAATTGAGGAGGGGCCTTCTCCCTCCCAGAGCAGTTATAGACCGTTAAAAGTTATATAGAGAGAGTGGGAGTCATAGTCCTCAGTGATATAGCCACTGGTACATTGTTCCCACTAAAGCAAGTACATCCCACATACTCATGCATGCAACCCTAATTCAATGTAGTATGTTCACAGAAAACAGACATGAAAGTAGGGAAGAAAGTGTGGATGAAGAAATTTGGTGGGGGGGGGGAAATGGATAAGAGAGAATAATGGAAACTTTGATCAAATAACATTTTATACATATATAATACATATACAATTATATATAATTGTAGAAGAATAAATAAAAATAGTATCAATGAGATGTCTTTCAGTGATGTTTGAGAGGACTTTGAGAATATCATCTCATTTAATCTTCAAATAGTCTTTGAAAACCTTGAAGATAGGGGATATCTGGCATAGGTCTAATGTAATTAATGGCTCCTTGTGGCTCCTTTGACTCTAAATCTCCATTTTTCTGAAGCAAAGACTGAGGCTGGGGGAGATTCAATTACTTGTTCGAGGTTGGAGAGCTGATGAGTGCCAGAGTCAGGGTTCCCAAGCTGTCTGATTTAGACAGCAGTAACTGGTTCCATGGATATCTTGAGGTCTTTAAGTCAATGTGGGCCTTAGGAAGTAAATGGAAGGATGCCCTTGGGTAGAGCTATGTCTACCGTTCCTGAGGCCAAGCAGACACCCTAGAGCTTTTGTGCTGTTCAGTTATTCAGCCCTCAAGCCTTTGTCAGGGCCTTTTAGTGAGACGCAGTCTCAAGAGTCAGAAGAAATCAGTAATTTGGCTAAGAAAAAGGCATTGGAGAAACAAATTGTTGTTGCATCATGAATGTAATAAGGCAGTTAGGTGGGTGGAAATAATTCTCTTTTGATTATATGCATGAGGACTGTGTAGCAAATTTGAAGTCCAGGCTGCCTTTCCTTGGCCTTCTCCTCCCACTAGTCACATTTCTAACTGTGTCTCCTAACTGTCCAGCTGGTGTGTGCTTGGGGAGCACTAATCTAACTTTTCATATTATCCCAGGTGAAATAGAATCAGGGAGAAACTCTTCTGCCAAAAGAATCACACATCAATGTCAAATAGAGATGATTTTTTTGTATATCTGCTATTTCCTTATTTGCATCAAGATTGACTCATAATTATATTGTACAATTTGACTATACTGCCAAAGAAGATAGAAAAAAAATTTAACTGAAATTTCATTTGTTTTCTCTTTCCTTTTTCTCCAAATTTGGACAGATTCACTTTCACTGAAAGGAAAAAGGCTGGATTTTTATGGAGAAGGCGAGACATATGTCCATTTGACCAACGCCATGCCTGAACTCAGCCGACTCACAGCATGCATTGATCTGATATCCATGACTGACAGCTCACATCACTGGATGGCCTTCTCCTATATTACTAATAACACTCTCCTGGGCAGAGAAGATGTAGACCTTGGACTTGCGGGAGACCATCAGCAGCTGATACTGTACAGCTTTGGCAAGACCTTTTATATCAGCTATCATCTAATTCCGTTTCACTGGCATACCATGTGCTTAATATGGGATGGTGTGAAGGGCAGATTAGAGCTCTTCCGGAACAAAGAAAGGATACTTGCAATAATGGATCAGCCACACAGCCTGCCTCCTGATGGGACTTTGGTTTTAGGGCACTTTCCTAGAAATGGAGAGGGCCAGATTAAAACTGTGGTACCTCGCTTTACCGGCAGCTTGTATTACTTTCAGCTCTGGGACCGCATCCTGGAAAATGAGGAGTTTATGACGTGTTTATATGGAAATGTAGTTAGTTGGGAAGATGATGTTTGGCTCATCCACAAGACAAGTCCCACTGTTGACAGGAGACTGCGCTGCTGTGAGTAACTTACACATTTTTTTTCCCCCAGCAAGGGTAGAATTGGTACATCACTGCTCTGCTTATAAATAAGGCTGAAATTATCCATTCCTAGATCAAGGCTCTGTCTTCCTCCAAGGCACCCAAGGTTCCCACAATTTTGTCTCCTGCTTTTTGATGTAGAGAAAACACTGTTTTCTTTTCCCTTTTATTTTTTAATATAACTTCAAATTCATAGAAAATATGTAAAAACAACAAAATCTCTATTTACCCACACTTGTCAATGGTTAACCCTTATTCATCCACATACTTTATCATTCTCATTTTCATCTCTTTTCTCTTCCTGCTGTGCATTCCCTCTGTCTGTCTGTCTGTCTGTCTGTCTCTCCCTCTCTCTCTCTCTCTCTCTCTCTCTCTCTCTCTCTCTCTCTCTCTCTCTCTCTCTGTCTGTCTCTCTGTCTCTGTCTCTGTATCTCTCTGTCTCTGTCTCTGTCTCTCTCTGTCTCTCTCTCTCTCTCTCTCTCTCTCTCTGTCTCTCTCTCTCTCTCTGTCTCTCTCTCTCTCTCTCTGTCTCTCTCTCTCTCTCTCTTTCTCTCTCTCTCTCTCTCTCACACACACACACACACACACACACACACACACACACACACCACATCACATCCCTTATTTGTTTTGGGGTCATCTGAGAGTAAGAAGAAGGCATTGTTCTTATATATTACTCTTTGTCTCAGTGTATGTACCCTAAGGATTAGAAATTATCTTAATTGTATCACAGTGATAAAAATAAAAAAATTTAACATGGATACAACATTAACATCTAATTCCTAGCTGATCTTAAAATTTAACCATTCATCCTAATAATTTCATTTGTAACTTTTTTGTTTGGCCTAAGATCTGTTTTACAACCATGCATTGCATCTAGTTACCAAGTCTCTTTATATCTCCTGTCTCGCTTTGTTTTCTTTTTTTTTAACCTAGACATTCCTAGTATATAGTCCAATCGTTCTGTGGACCATCCCTTAGTTTGGATTTGTCTACTTTCTTGGTAGCTACATTCTGGCTTTCCATTTTTGGTAAGAATATTGCAAAAGTGATGCTGTTTTTTTTTCTCGTATCAGCAGAAGCATGGGGCCAAATTGTCCCTATATTCATAATAATAAATTTAATCACTTATTTTGATGTCTGCCAGATTTTGTCACTGGAAATGTATTATCCTTTTCCTTTGCAATTAATTTCTAGGGAGATGTTTGGAGACAATGTAAATATCCTCCTATCCAACTTTTATCCAATAGTTTTACATATACTCACGGCTCTTGCTTAGATCACTCACAACTATGATGGTGTTAAAGTTCCATATTTATTAGCTTGTATTTATTCCATTTTAAGAAAGACTTTTCCCTTCTTCCAAATTAACAAATTAATTCGTGTTTATTTGTGTAGACATGAACTTATGCATTCTAATTTTATTCACTAGGTTTCCAATTGTTACTATTGTTTGTTTTGATATGACAATTGTTCCATATTTGGCCAGTGGGAGCCCTTCAGTCTGACTTCCCTGTCCCTTTGACACATTCAATCATTCTTTGCATATTTTCTGTCTTTCTGGCAAAAGAAGAATAATGCATGCTCATTTCATACCTTTTCCTGTTCAGCCTAAGAATCAACCATTTTGCCAAAAAGACCTGGTTCCTTTTGGTGAAAAAAAATATATAAAATGTATATATAATTTAGATTATATGGTAATTCATATATATGATATCACACACACACACACACACACATATATATATATATATATATATACTGTAATTTATTTTTCTTGTTGATATAATGATGTTAATAACAATCTTGGAATTATATATGTATATTTACTCTTCTCTCTGGTTTTGAGAAGGAAATATAGGGTGGCTTTTCTCAGTACAATGCCATTTTCCTTTCAACTTCTATCATGACCAACAGCAGCAGCCCTGAAGTACATGTCATCAGTGGCAATAGGATTTTTCGCATTTCTAGAAATGTATGTGTTCTGTTCTTTTGATTTTGGGAACAAGTTGGATAAAGAATGGGGCCTAGATCTAAACCTAGGAATGCTCATACAGGGTATGGGAATATGCTTTCCTCAATAGTATGGGTGCTGACTGGGTTAAAGACAGCAGCACACTGTACCAGGTTTCTGTGCTTTGAGACTGGTGCGGAAGAATATGAAAGGTATTCTTTCTGATTTTAGCTGAAGACACTGTTGTTGTTGTTACTTTCCCTCCTTTTTGAGGTCTTCCAATGAGGGAGAGTGCTTCTAGCTAGCTCTAATTACATTAAGTTAGACATTAAGAAATCAAGACTGAATGGCTTATACAACGTATAAAGGAACTTTACGCTGGGCAGTGGTGGCGCACGCCTTTAATCCCAGTACTCGGGAGGCAGAGCCAGGAGGATCTCTGTGAGTTCAAGGCCAGCCTGGTCTACAGAGTGAGATCCAGGACAGGAGCCTAAACCACACAGAGAAACCCTTTACTACAGAGAACTTTACTTTTTTTTATTGTTAATTTTTAAAATTTATTTTACATACCAACCAGTTTCCATTCCTCTCTTCTCTGGTCCCCCCCCCCCCCCCCCCCCCCCCCCCCCCGCGCCCACCTCTTTTCTGCTCCCACATCCACTCTTCAGAAAAGGGAAAGGCCTCCCATGGGAGTCAACAAAGCATGGCATATCAGCCCTTATAAATGCACAAACTTGACAGTGGCTTTTGAAAACACAACGACCCAGCTGGGATCTCCCGCTCTCCTAAGCTCTCTTTCCCTCGACCCTTGCCCTTCATTACCCCCACTCACATCCAGGTTGTTCATGTAGATCTCATCCATTTCTCTGTCATTGGGCAATCCCTGTGTCTTTCTTAGGGTCCTGTTTTCTAGGTAGCCTCCCTGGAGTTGTGAGTAGCAGTCCAGTCATTTTTGTTTTACATCTACTATCCTCCTATGAGTACATATCATGTTTGTCTTTCTGAGTCAGGGTTACCTCATTCAGGATGATTTTTTTCTAGATCCATCCATTTGCCTGCAAATCTCATGATGTCATTGTTTTTCTCTGCTGAGTAGTATTCCATTGTGTATACGTACCACATTTTCTTTATCCATTCTTCAGTTGAAGGGCATCTACGTTGTTTCCAGGTTCTGGCTATTACAAACAATGCTGATATGAACATAGCTGAGCAAGTGCCCTTGTGGTATGATTGAGCATTCCTTGGGTATATGCCCAAGAGTGGTATAGCTGGGTCTTGGGGGAGATTGATTCCTAATTTTCAAAGAAAGCACCATATTGATTTCCAAAGTGGTTGTACAAGCTTGCATTCCTACCAGCAGTGGAGGAGAGTTCCCCTAGCTCCACATCCTCTCCAGCATAAGGTGTCTTCAGTATTTTTTATCTTAGCCATTCTGACAGGTGTAAGGTGGTATCTCAGAGTTGTTTTGATTTGCATTTCCCTGATGATTAGGGATGTTGAGCAATTCCTTAAATGTCTTTCAGCCATTTGAGCTTCCTCTGTTGAGAATTCTCTGTTTAACTCTATAGCCCATTTCTTAATTGGACTGTTGGGCATTTTGATGTCTAATTTCTTGAGTTCTTCATATATTCTGGATATCAGCCCTCTGTCAGATGTGGGGTTGGTGAAGATCTTTTTCCATTCTGTAGGCCGTCGCTTTGCCTTGTTGACTGTATCCTTTGCTCTACAAAAGCTTCTCAGTTTCAAGAAGTCCCATTGATTGATTGTTTAGAGAGGGAGAACAAGAAGTAAGAGACCATGATAAATGAAGACCACATGAGAATAGGAAGAAGCAAAGTGCTAGAGAGGTCCACAGAAATCCACAAAGATACTTCCACATTAGACTACTGGCAATGGGTGAGAGAAAGCCTGAACTGACCTACTCTGGTGATAGGATGGCCAAACACCCTAATTGTTGTGCTAGAAATCTCATCCAATGACTGAGGGAACCGGATGCAGAGATCCATGGCCAGGCCCCAGGTGGAGCTCCAGGAGTCCAATTGGTGAGAAAGAAGAGGGTTTGTATGAGCGAGAATTGTTGAGACCAAGACTGGAAAAAGCACAGGGACAAATAGCTAAACGAATGGAAATACATGAACTATGAACCAATAGCTGAGGAGCCCCCAACTGGATCAGGCCCTCTGGATAAGTGAGACAGTTGGTTAGCTTGAACTGTTTGGGAGGCATCCAGGCAGTGGGACCGGGACCTGTCCTTAGTGCATGAGCTGGCTGTTTGGAACTTGGGGCTTATGCAGGGACACTTTGCTCAGCCTGGGAGGAGGGGACTGGACCTGCCTGGTCTGAATCTACCAGGTTGAACTCAATCCCCAGGGGAGTCTTTGCCCTGGAGGAGATGGGAATGGGGGGGTGGGCTGGGGGGAAGGCGGGGAGGGGGGAGGACAAGGGAATCCGTGGCTGATATGTAAAATTAAATTAAATTATAAAATAAAATAAAATAAATTTAAAAAAAATCCATAGAAATTTAAGTACTCTTAAGGAAAAAAAAAGAAAAAAAGAAAAAATAGAAAACACAATGACGACTTCTCCCCCTCCCCCAACCATATGGCTGATAAAGTCTAGCCAATATTAAGGTGCTGCACAACCCCCATTTATTTTTTCTCTCTTCAACACTTTTTAATATACAGTCCATTGTCTAGGGGTGAGTTCTTGCAGATATGACAATTAAGCAAAAGAGTAGAAAATGTTCTCTCTACTATTCAGGTTTCTACAAGTATTCTTTCTAAACCTTTGAATAGGAGGTCCTAAACCGAGGGCCAGAATAGTCTAGACTGAGTTGAAAAAGCTCTTGAAATTGTCTAAAGCAGCCAAATAGATTTTTTCCCTGAAGACAGAGGCTCCAGTTTCCAGCATATTCTGACATATTAGTTGTTGCCTTTTACTAAGTTCTTACCAAGGTCTAGGCATTTTATAGATTAAAAAAGAGAGGTGATAAGCATTCTCTAAGGTTACCAGTCAAGTAAGTTGT